AGGTCATCGATAGAAGCCCCAGGCAAGTGGATGCCCATCTCAGCCTCCTCAAGCACCCTTGGGAATCCATAGCTGGGCCGTTCGCTGCTCTTTGGAGTTCTGAATAGGGCTGGCATTCGAGTGCGTTCTGGTGCCGTGGAGCTTTCCTGAAGATCGCGTTTTGAATATCCGTGGCAGTGCGCGAAGATTGCCGAGCATGTTGAAGCACCTGAGTTTAGTGCAGGCGTGCTCCTCGCTCCTGACCGTTCCTTTTTCGCTCGGTTTTGCCGCGGCATCGCTCGCGCGCGCGATCGTCTGTCATCGGGGCCCAGTGGCCGATCCATCCCGAGACAGTGGAAGGCCGGATGCCCCGTTGAGCCGCGCTACCTTGCCTGCCATGTCGCAAGCAGCAGAGAGTCGTCGCACTTTTGCAAGGGCATTGCAAATGTGCGGAGCACGCTCTGGAGCTCGATGAGCCGCGCGCGTCGCGCCAATGTTTCGACGAAGCGGCTCGCAGCGGCGGGCTGCAGCATCTATTCGCTGAGATGTTCGATGTCGGTGCCATTCTTGGAGCGTTCTAATTTGCCCGACTATCCCCTCTGCTCTGGGCCCACGGGCACCTTGATCGGCACGCTGGAAACGCTTTCCCTGGCAGCTCGATTTTCGAGGGTGACGCGCGACCCCAGGCCGCTGGAGGCTGGTCTGTTGCTGCGCCCGCGAGAGGCGCCAGAACCCTCCGCGAAGTCGCAGCGTCGACGCGCGGCCCAACATTGTCTGCCTTTGCGACGACCAACGAGGATGAGTTGAGAGCCGTTCTTGAGCGCCTCACGCACGCGTGTCCCCCCCCTCGTTTTGCACGCGGATTCCATGTGTACGTTCGATGGAGACATGCCCTGGGTCCAGTTCACAATTGCACAGGCGCTGAATTCCCATTGTTTTCTTTGGCGCGAGGTGCGGGCTAGGCTCGGGGATGCGGGCTCAGCTGTTCGGAGTCGCTCTCGTCGATGCGATTCGTGGAAGTTCCACCCCGCTTCACGCGCGCCGACGCCAGCTCGGGCATAGTTCCCCCCCCCCCCCCTTTGCGCTTCATTCCACTTCAGAGAAAAGGGATCCCGCGACAGCGGCGCGCAGCGTCGTTCGCGGGGTCTGCCGAGCCAGTGAAGGGTAGCGGAATGGCTCTGCAGGCGGTGGCTCCTCGCCGCGGCCACCTGCAGGTGGCGCTGGTGATGTGGGCCGCGACGACTGCGCCAAGCCAGCGCCCCCCACCGAGCGGACGCACACACGCGCGCACGCGCGCACACACGCGCGCACGCGCGCGCACACGCGCGCACGCGCGCGCGTACGCACGCTCGCACGCACACACGCACACACACACACACATACGCACACACACACGCACACACACACACACACACACACACACACACACACACACACACACACACACACACACACACACACACACACACACACACACACACACACACACACACACACACACACGCACACACACACACACAGGCACACGCACACACACAGAGACACACATTCGAGCTTGCACGCATAATGCTATTCATCTGGCGGGGCCCATGAGGTGCACCGAGCTGCTGCTAGCGCCATTCTCCTCCCAGGCACCAGCAAAAAGAAGGGCGAGGATAATAACCACCTCGGCGCGATCGATATGTGGATAGGCGCGCGCCAGCAACAGCGCATGCGGCGCACCTATCACGTCGCAACACATCGTACTCCTGGAGAGAAGTGGACGACGCATCTACGCTCCACCTCCAGCTTGGGCAGGGCGCGCAGGAGCCATCAGATTGAAGACGGCCGCGCTCGACATTTTGTTCATGACGCGATATGCCCCGTTGCCTGCCTCGGGGAATACCGCCGCGCGGCTCAGGCATTAATAGCACGGACACGGTGGGCGATCGAATCGGTCGGCGCCTGCTGCGCTCCCAGCGCCGGCTGCGGCCCGAACGACGGCTTCGGCGTTTTCCCCGGGGCGACGCTGGACGAGGCGGGCACGCGCGATTGGGGGGGCGAGGACGAGGACGAGGACCGCGCGGTGGGCACCTTAGAGCCGTCTTCCGAGGGATTGGCTGGGCGACTTCGGCATCGTCTCTTGTAAGACTGCGATGCGGCAGCATGCAACTCCGTCTACGCGGCAGGCCCCACATATTATGGCAGTGTGGGACGAAACTCCAGCATTTCCCGGGGCTTGATGGCGCGCGCGAGGAGCCGCCGTGCACTGGAAGCGGCCGGGAGACGACTGCAGCCAATCCTGACATTCGACGACCGCGACCACGGGCCAGCCTTTGTTGAATTTGCGCGTTGTTTCCAGGCTCAGATGGGAAGCGCGCCTTGGAAGAGATTAATGGCCTCGGCTCGCCGAGGCGAGGGGCGCTGATTGAAGCGATTCATGAGGACTTGCTGTCTGTTGATGAACCAGAAGGGGTTTGACGATGCACACGGCCGACGACCGATGAGTTTTGGGATCCAAGAACTTGTTTAAGTTGTAACGAGGCGCGCGAGGCCTCCCCAAGAAAACAGAGCTGGAGGCTGATAGTATTACATTGGATAAACAAAAATCATACATATTGGACCAACGTAAACTAGTGAATAGTACGCACACGGGAAAATTCACAGAGTTTTGGCGGGACTTGGAGCTCAAGCTGTCCAGGCTGATTGTCCACATTCGAAATGGACCAAAGCTGACTGCGAACGACCGTCGCGGGGCCGTCTCAGAGCCATTTGGGGTTGTTTGGGGGCGGTACTGGGGGGGGGTCGGGCGCTTAAAAACCAAAAATGCAAAAAGGCCACGAACCTCCAAAACCTTTGGCCGCGCCAGGAGGGCGTGTGGCGCCGATCTTGGGCCCAGGATGGTCCAGGCCAAGGTCGGTGGATGCGCGCGCCCTCCTGGGCGGCGGCCAGCCCCGCTGCGGATGCCAGTTTTGGTTGGCAGCGCTGGCAGTCGCAAGCGCGTCTGCAGAGCCGTTCCGGGCACGGGGCCAGACGGGCGGAAGAGAGGAGGGCAGCCGCGGAGGCAGAGAGAGAGACGCCGGAGAACACTGCGGATGCCACAGGGGGCGGCGCGGATTTCCTGGAGGGGCGCTGGGCCCCCCCTGGCGGCGCCGCTCGTGGCGCGCTCCTCGCGCCAGGGAGGGGGACGCAGCGCCGATCCGAGAAGTCCGCGCGGACCCCCGATGCATGATTTAATCGCTTCGCTCATTCCGCCGGCCCTGGAGCCCTCCTCCTCCTCCTCCTCCTCCTCCTCCTCTCCTCCTCCTCCTCCTCCTCCTCCTCCTCCTCCTCCTCCTCCTCCTCCTGCTCCGCTCTTTGGAGCCTCTTGGGGGCCTCTTGGGGCTCTTTGGCGGCGTCTTGGGGGCCCCTGGGGCCTCTTGGAGGGCTCTCGGGAGCCTCTTGGGGCGGGAGGGGGAGGTAGTCGATTGCGGCTCCCCCCCTCGGAGGCCACGTTCTTCGTGAGGGGCGTCGAAACATGGCCCTCCCCTGGGGCCTTTTGGGGGATCGCCCGGGAGTGGACCGGGACCTGGCCGGGGTATTTTTCGTCTGGGGTCCCCCAGGGGCCGCTCCGCGCGCACGAACTAGAAATATTGTTAACCAGTCACCAGAGATCTTAGCACGCCTCTGGCCCGTTGGGCCGGCGAATTGGTTTGTCCACTAGAGCCAAGGAGCGCGGGTTGTCCATGGCCAGCGGGCGGCGACGTTTGGGGGCCCCCGCGGGGACCCCGGGGACGTCCGATGGTGCATGTGGGGACGTCCTTCCGCATCCTGATGCGCCTCCAGGGCCTTGTCGTGGCATGCGATCGCCAACCAACCACGCGCGTGGACGGGGAGGCCCACCAGCTCAAGAGACGTCACACTCCCGGATCTCCGACGATCCGATGCCTGCTGAATCCCGACGTGTTTCCTTGATTTCGGTTCCAAAATCTCCAGGAGGGAAAAAAACACAGACACAATTAATCGTCGACCCTCAGGAAAATATAGGAAAATATGGGAAGTGGGCGGGAAGACAGAAGCCCAGAAAATAAGGGAAATTTTAGGGAATATGTTTATTTGTGTGCATTTATTTGTGTGTGTGTGTGTGTCCTGGGGCCCCTACAAATCTGTCATCGGGCCCCTGGACCATCAGAAACTGATTTGGGGGCGAAAAATCAGCCCCCAGGAGGGGGTCGGGACCTCTGGGGCCGCGCACCGAAAGACGGATGTTTGGGCTTTCGCGTGGGCGGTCAGGAAGCATGGCATGGAAAGGCTCGGCTAATTACAGTGAAAGGCGCGACCAGAGGCAACGAAAGGCATTTCAGTGCAGGTGTTGGGCTCTCGTTGCCCGGACGCCCCGCCTTCCCTTCATTCCGCTTCATGCCCCCCCGCCCCCTTTCCTGGCACCATCCCTCTACAGTCAACGCGCCTGGTATGCATGGACGCGCACCTTCATCCATCCCTTGTGTCCTTGCCTCTGTCCTTTGCCGTTTTCATTGGTCGCCCGCCGCCCCAAAAAACACAATTTGGGCCTCCAAGGTCTTGCGTCCTTACCACCCGTCCTTGATTCAAGTTTCGATTGTAATGCCCCTCCATGGCTCCATCCCTGTGGCTTCTTCCGGTCTCCTCGCTTCACCACAGTCTTGGTGGTAAAGGAGGGCCTGGGGGAGCAGTAACACCCCTCGGTTGGGTGGTTGCCTAGTGGAATCTTCCATTCCTGTGTTCGATTGCCTATCGCATTTGCAGTCCGTTGCCACATGCATTGGAGTTCCCACTTAACGCATCCCGCAGCCCCATCAATTGACATTTCTATGCATTGTTCTCTGAGAAGGCTATCCAGTCACCCTGGAGATGCTTCAGTGGTGGGGGGGGGAGCCTAGCGTTTTGAGCCGTCCTTGCCTCAGTGATACTGGAACCGCCATGAGGGACATTCCGCTCGATTTCTTCGTTCCCAGCGAGAGTCAATGTTTATGGTTTCCACAAGCAAGTGCTATTGTAGTATGCTTTGTGAGATCCGTCTGCAGGTGCGGCCCAGGGGCGACAAGAAGTAGAGGGACGACCTCGCCTGGCGCACCCCGTGGTTCGGAAAGCTTGGACTCCAGGTTCACATGCTTTCCGCTTTTGTTCTGTGATAGTCGGAGCAAGGCGAAAGCCAGGCTTAATAATTTTCCGCCACGCTAAGCTAGCCGAGCTTGTGCAGGACTGTACCAGATGTCTACGGAACAGTGGAGATCTTGCAGAGAAATGTGCGTTTCGTCTCTGTCGTTGCGAGTTTGAGATATGCGTCTCTATGCCTATTGGATCTGCGCCGCTTTACATACGCCACTCGTTAGAAAAAACACCATTGATGAGCCACGATTGAGCAGTAAACATAGGGTATGCCTGCATTTCTGCTTGACCTCTATGTGGTCGGCTTGTTCTGCGTTGAGATTGTTGAAGTGTGTGCTGTGAGTTGCGTGCTGTACGCATGTTCCCCCTTGTGACATCCTCTGGCCGGCGGATGGAAAGTGTGTGTGTGTGTTGCTCGTGGATGTGGTATGCGTTTGTGTGTATATGTGTTACGTGTGCTGTGTGTGCGTTGGTTATTTTCCTGTCTCGGCTGATCTGCCTCTCGGCCTTCCCCGCCTCCTCCGCCTCCTCCTCCTCCTCCTCCTCCTCCTCCTCCTCCCCCTCCTCCTCCCCCTCCTCCTCCCCCCCTCCTCCTCCTCCTCCTCCTCCTCCTCTTCCTCCCCCTCCTCCTCCTCCTCCTCCTCCTCATACTCATACTCATACTCATACTACTACTACTACTACTTACTACGACGACGACGACGACGACGACGACGACGACGACGACGACGACGACGACGACGACGACGACGACGACGACGACGACGACGACGACGACGACGACGACGACGACGACGACGACGACGACGACGACTACTACTACTACTACTACTACTGCTGCTGCTGCTGCTACTACTACTACTACTACTACTACTACTACTACTACGACGACGACGACGACGACGACGACGACGACGACGACGACGACGACGACGACGACGACGACGACGACGACGACGACGACGACTACTACTACTACTACTACTAGTACTACTACTACTACTCCTCTTTCGCCTCCTCGCTTGCTGGGTCTTCCGTCTTGGGGTTCCCCTGTTCGGATTGGCTTCGGCTGATCGGGCGGGCCGGGCCGCTGCTCGGAAGCTTCCGCCCCGCTTCTCGTCCTGCCCCCTCTCGCTGCCGCCAGCTCGTGCTCTGGTCACTGGCAATCCCAGAGATCCGACGCTCCAGAAAAGTTGGAGCGGCGGGATTTGGGCAGTTTTCGGCCGCCAGGGGCCCTCGCTGGGCCTCGGGAGCGTCAGAAAACGACTCAGGACGAGAAGCCGGCCTCGGGGAAGTAGTCCGCGTTGGGGCCTCTGGGGCCCACGCATCGAAAACACTGGAGCAGCCGGATGTCTGGGATCCCTGGCGCGGCCTGCTCTCTTCTCGCCTCCTGCGCCGCCCTGCACTCGCACGGCTCCTCGTGCTCGGCGGTCGACCGACTTCGGCTCACCCTGGGATCTTCGGGCCTTGCCACGCTGTCTCACCAGGGGGGCTGATCCACTTTGCGTGCATCCTGCCTTGCTGTCGACCGGAGGTCGTTCCCGGCGCCGACCCCCGGGTGGCTTTCGGGGCACAGCTCGAGCCCCTGGCGGCCGTCCAAGACGATTTGGGCAACTCCAGAACGCCCTCGGCGAGGCGCAGCCGCCGGAAGGCACCCCGAGGCTGGGCGTGTGCGTCCGAAACCTCTGGAACGGAAACGTCCGAAAATCTCACGAGACAACGGAAACCTAGAGATCCAATTTAGTGAAAACAAGATCAAGACGCAGGCTTTTCCGTAATTTCGGCCCCTCGGGGGCCCTCGCCAGGCCTCGGGACCGTCAAAAAACGGGACAGGATGAAAAACGGGTCCTGGGGAATGGATTGAGGCTTTTGGGGACCGCATATAGAAAAAACAACAAAAAAACACGACATCGGATCTCTGGGAACGTCCGCGACATCCCGAGAACCAACGGAAGCGTCCGAAAATCGCAAGCCTCGAGCCTCGAAGCTGTGGCCCCCCCCCGTCGTTCCCCCTGAGCCCGACCACTCTCGTCTGCCCGCTCGCTACGGGCGTCCCGAGTCCCCCACTCCAATGGACCTGGCATCGCTCGGACGTGTGCATTTTCCTTCGGCGAGGCCCATCGAGGAGTATCCTGCATCATTTGGCGACAAAACCACGCACGAAACCGACAAAAGAACACAGGGAATGGACGTCCGAACGATGGCGAGTGGAGGGGTGAAGAATGTTGCGCCCCAGGGGCCACCCCCTGGGGCCCAGAAGGGACACGGGGGGTGCGCGCTCTTCCTGTCAGGGTTTGGGAACGATGCGACGCGCGCACGTCCAAGCCTGCCCACTGGTCACTCACTGCGTCACTCGTCACTCGTGCACCACGATTCCCACGTTTCTCCCCCCCCCCCGCTCCCCTCCCCCAGGACGTGTGCCCCCCCCCCCCCCCCCGGGGAGTTGACAAAACCGTGTGTGCGTACCACCTCGTTTTGCTGCGTTGCATCGCCATCACCAGCATCATCATCCTCATCATCATCATCGGCATCAGTTGATAAAGTCGTGCGCGTGTGTACATGCGTGTTTTCATAGTATCACAAAGTGTCTTTTCATATCATCGCTGTCGCGACTCAAGCATCCCAAGAGATGTGCGATCTGGTGGCAAACAATCCGTGCGTCGAATCCATCAACATGGCGACTGCGACGACGATCGTGCGATGATGGCGAACGTGAAACGGACCGACTGTCGGCACAAGTGCGGTACTCGATAGCAGAAGGGTGATTGAGCCTCAAACCAGCGACGGAAGAGAGTACCCGAGTTGAGAATTTAACATGATATCTTCCCACATGAAACAACACATACGATGATGATGACGAGTATGTGTTTCAAGATGCTGCTGATGACGAGTATGTGTTTCAAGATGCTGCTGATGGCGATGATGATGACGAGTATGTGTTTCAAGATGCTGATGATGACGATGATGATGACGAGTATGTGTTTCAAGATGATGCTGATGACGATGGTGATGACAATTACGTGTTTCAAGATGTTGCTGATGATGATGGTGGTGACGAGCATGTGTTTCAAGATGCTGCCCTTTCCTGTCGTGCCCCCGCCCTATCCTCGGAGATGGCGGTTTCGACATCACCCCGGGATCCCCCGGATCTTCCCCTGTCAGGGGCAGGTCGCGAGTAGCAGAAATGAGCGTTAACGAATCTTCTGGTATGCGTTGAGGGCAACCCATTATCATAATGGGCCTCACAGGGCACCATCGGGAAGCACAGCCCACCAGACTAAGGGAATAACCCCCTGGGTCTAGGCACCCATAGCGGGTTCCATAAGCCCTCCTCTCCTCCGTCTTCCTCTTCCTCCTCCTCCTCCTCCGCCTCCACCTCCGTCTCTTCCTCCTCGCCTCTCTTACTTCCAGTGGGTGAGCGCCGAAGCGCGTTCCAGAGGGACATATTAAGCCTTAATCCTTCGATTCTCCGGCCCCCGGAGGCCCGAAACAAACATGAGCGAATTACAATATTATCTGTTTTGCAGCGGGTAACAACAAAAATCCTTCTGTGATAAACTACACATAGAACCTGCTGGTAGGTTATGACAATGTTGATAACGATTATGTTTCGCAATGGGTTCCGAAGGCCACTGCAGATGACGATGGCGATGACATGTACGTGTTTCAAGATGCTGCTGGTGATGATGATGATGATGATGATGACGAGTATGTGTTTCAAGATGCTGATGATGACGATGGTGATGACGAGCATGTGTTTCAAGATGATGATGATGACGATGACGATGACGAGCATGTGTTTCAATATGTTGTTGATGACGATGGTGATGACGAGCATGTGTTTCAAGATGCTGATGATGACGGTGATGATGACGAGCATGTGTTTCAAGATGCTGCTGATGACGATGGTGATGACGAGCATGTGTTTCAAGATGCTGATGATGACGATGGTGATGACGAGCATGTGTTTCAAGATGATGCTGATGACGATGGTGATGACGAGCATGTGTTTCAAGATACTGATGATGACGATGATGATGACGAAAATGTGTTTCAAGATGCTGTTGATGACGATGATGATGATGATGACGAGTATGTGTGTCGAGATGCTGCTGATGACGATGGTGACGGCGAGCATGTGTTTCAAGATGCTGCTGATGACGATGACGATGACGACGAGTATGTGTTTCAAGATTCTGCTGATGACGATGGTGATGACGAGTATGTGTTTCAAGATGTTGCTGATGATGATGGTGATGACGAGGTGCGTTTGGAGCAACGCATGGTCATAATGAGCTTCACAGGGCACAATCGGGTGGGAAACACAGCCCATCAGACTAAGGGAATAACTCCCTGGGGCTAGGCACCCATAGCGGGTTACATAAGTTCTCCTCTCTTTCCCTTTCTTCCTCCTCCTCCTCCTCCTCCGCCTCCACCTCCGTCTGTTCTTTTTCGCCCCTCTTACTTCCAGCGGGTGAGCGCCGAAGCGCGTTCCAGAGGGATATATTAAGCCTTAATCTCTCGATTCTCCGGCCTCCGGAGGCCCGAAACAAACATTAGCGGATTACAGATTGATTTCTTTGTTGTTGAATTACAAAGGGAAACCTTTTGTTGTGAACTACACATTGTTTTCTCCTGTGGCGGATTACAAAAGGATTCCTTGTGTGGAGGATTACACAAGGATTTCTTTTGTGGAGGATCGCAAAATGATTCCTTTTGTGCCGAATTACAAAGGAAATCCTTGTTTGGTGAATTACAACTTGTTTCCTTGTGTGGAGGATTACAAAGGGAATCCTTTTGTGGAGGATTGCAAAAGGATTCCTTTTGTGGAGGATTACAAATTGATTTCCTTTGTCGGCCTTCCTGGTAGTGAACCAGGGGACAAAAAAAAAATCAGGAAATCATTGAAAAATATTAGAATTGCAGTTTTTCAATGAATTTCCAGTATTTTGAAGCAAAAACATATTTAAAACAAACACAGCATTTTCCAAGGTATTGAAGCCGAAACCATATGAAAACACACATTTTGGCATTCGGAATGCGGAAGTGCTGTGTTTTTTATATGCTTCTGCGTCAAAACATGGGAAATTCATTGAAAAACTGTAATTTCAGAATTTTCAATGATTTCCTGATTTTTTGTTTTGTTTTTCTTTTGTCCCCTGGTTCACTACCAGGAAGGCCCACAAAAGAAATCAATGTGTAATCCTCAACAAAGGGAATCCCTTTGTAATCCTCCACAAAAGGAATCCCGTTGTAATCCGCCACAAATAGAAACAAGTTGTAATTCACCACAAAACAATTCCCTTTGTAATACGCCACAAACATGAATCAATTTGTAGTTTGCCACAAAAGGAATCATTCTGTATTCCGCTACTTTGAGCAATTGTTTTAGAGATGACGAAAAGAAATAGCCCAAAGGAAAGCAAGTACAGAAGAAGTAATAAACCAAAAACCGAGGTGGTACACACACACACGGTTTGGTTAACCTTACCCCCCCCCCTATCAAGCAGCGCCCAGCCCTCACTGCGGCAGCGGGTGCCCCGAGCCCTTCCCCTGCTTCGCTCCGACCTCAGACGGCGGACCGCCAGAAGCCAGGCACGTTCCACTAATCGCAGAGTGCCTACTCGCAAACGCCCGAAAAACACATGTTCGTTTCGATGTAATGTATCGTAGATCCCCCGCGGCGCATCCAGGCGATTTGCGAGTAGCTACTTTGCGAGTAGTGGAACGCGCTCGTCTAGATTCCCAGGATTTCGAGTCGACTCGACTCCGATTTCCGACCTCGGCCCCGGTGTCCTCCCGCGGGAGCTCGGCTCAGGGGACTGGGAACAGGGAGCAGGAGACAGGGAACAGGGAATAAGGACACAAGGACAGGAAGGGAGGGAGGAGGGAGGGATGGAGGAGGGAGGAGGGAGGAGGAGGGGGGAAGAGAAGAGGGAGGGAGGAGGGAGGAGGGGGGAGGAGGTAGGACGGAGGAGGGAGGAGCCAGGAGGGAGGAGGGAGGAGGGAGGGAGGTAAGAGGGAGGGAGGGAGGAGGAGGACGATGACGAGGAAGGTGGCTGCTCGGCCCCCTCGCCAGCTTCTCGCGGCCTGCAGCGGCCCAGACCCGTAAGACCGGCGCGAATCCGTAGGTCATCACTCTTGGTCCGAAGCATTTCTTTGTGGCCAGGGGCGGCTCACCCTCTCTGCACACGCACCGCCGACCGAATGCACACGCACTGAACCGTTGATGCTCGAAGAAAACAAGCAGCATGAGCATGAACTTGTGAAGGTCCGCGCGGAATTCCCGGATCGGCGCTGAAAAGCCTTTCCCTGGCGCGCGGAGCGCGCCAAGGGCGCGCCAGAGGCGCCGCCTGAGGGGCCCAAGCGCCGGTCCAGGCAATCCACGCGAACCTCCGAAAGTTTGTGTTTGGGTACTCTTGGGTTTCTCAATAAGCGTGGGGGGGTACCCCCTCCGCTGGGGGCCAACCTCCCCTCGTCGTCGCGCCTCAACGGGGGTCGATGCGGGGCTGTCGGCGGGGGTGACACCCCCCCGACGCTGATTGAGCAACTCGGATTAGCTCATTCTTCTTCGTGATACGGCTGGTACCGTTCCGAGCACAGATGCGTGCGAGGAGGCAGCCGTGCCTCCGGGGGTGCCTCCCGCTCTGGGCTGCGGCGTGCGCGGCGGCACGCGCCTCGGCCGAGGAGACCCTCGTTGAGGTCAGCCTGATACAGCTGAGCGCGCATGCTGCCTCGGAGGCCTGGGGTGAAGTCGGGCCTGTCCCTCTACAGGAGGGATACTCAAAGACGGATTAAACATAGTCTGGGGGCGATGCTGTTTTGCCATGTTTGACTATGTTGGAGTATTTTTGGACTATCTTTTGTCTTGCGTCCAAACTCCGCCTGTAGGAGGGCATGTCCGACCTAAGCCTAGAGGTTGACACCAACACCGGTATCGGCGGTGTGCCTCAACCGAGGGAAGGTGATCCCGATCTCGATGATGTTGGTAAGATTCGGGTTTCCAAGGTGGCCGAAGTATTACCACAAGCGCTACAATCTAGGATCAGCTTCCCCCGGTTGAAGCAGACCCTGGTGTTGTTTTTTGGGTGCCTCTTTCCAAGCCTCCCAAGGCTGCCTCGGAGGCACGGGAGTCCGCCGCCGTGTACGAGGCCGTCGCGGCCGCGCTGAGCAGGAATTCAAGAGGAGGAAAGGAAAAGTTCAGTGGCAAATCATGGGAGCCTGGTATACCTTCTTAGTTCCGTCTGTAGCGCCGACTCGTGTCGATTAGCGTCTGCAGTCGATGAGGTAGCGCCGCCTTCGCGTCGGCTAGCGTCGATTTAGCTTCGATTAGCGTCGATTTGACGTCGATTAGCGTCCAGTCTCGAGAGCCGACAAGATGGTATGGGAGGCCCCCATGAGTTGCCACCGAAGAACTGGCACCGATACCGCTACCCTGGCATCGATTTCGCACTTTGGGGCTTCCTGCGAGGCCCTCGGAAAAAGGCACCGATACCGCTACCCTGGCCTCGACTTCGCATTCTGGGGCCTCCTGGGAGGCCCTCGTCGCTGGACTCGCCTCGAAGTCCTGGTTAGAACGCACCCTGGGAGAGGTCCGCGGAGCAGTGGTATCGGTATCGGTTCGTTCCCCAAGGAACGGCACCCTGTCTCACTCGCAGCACATCTGGGAGTTCGTGGCCGCGCAGCCGTACGCGCCCAGCTCGGGTGCTGCCAGGAGTGTCCCTGGCCCACGGTGCTCCCAGCTCTTCGCGCCAGCTTGGGGCCAGCTGGGCCTCAGCTCGCGAGAGGCGCTCAGGAAGCCATCCGAGCGACGCAAAAAAGCACGGCGTCGTCTGCGCCGACCTTGGCGCGCAGGCTGCCCGCGCAAGGGCGCGCGAGAGAGCGCCCTCGCCTCAAGCGTGGCGTGCCGCGGGCGGCCTGCGAAAGCCACCGCGTGAGGTCGCTGCGTCGTCTCGCGCATGACCCGTTTTTGGTCGTCGCTCGGGCCACCTCCTCGTCCTCCTCGTCCTCCTCCTCCTCCTCCTCCTCCTCCTCCTCCTCCTCCTCCTCCTCCTCCTCCTCCTCCTCCTCCTCCTCCTCCTCCCTTCGAGAGGCCACCTCGTGCCAGGGCCTCCTCCGGCCTCGCAAAGAGGGGGTGGGCGGGGCGTGCAAAGGGCAGGGGCCCGAGAGGCAGCCCGGACCCCACGCGCAGCGGGACGGGACTCGCCTGCACGCCTGTTCGGCCCGGCGCTGCTTGGAATGACCCGTTTTTCGTTTCGGATCGTCGCTCGGCGCCCCCCGTGGGAGAGCCGGGGCCACCTCGTGCCAGGGCCTCGTCCGGCAGCACCCGGCCCAGCCTGAGCGGGCGCGGGTGCTTGTACCTCCCGTCGAATGAGGCCTGGAGGTCTCGGGAGGGGGAAGACACGCAGACACAGTTCATCGTCGATTCCCAGGAAAATATGGGAACATATGGACAGTGGGGGGAAGACGAAAACCCACAAAATACGGGGAATGATGGAACATTTTAGGACTTGCTATATATACATAAATCAATATTATGTGTGTGGAATGTAGCGTATGGTGTGTCGTGTGTGCGTGTGTGCGTGCGTGCGTGCGTGCGTGTGTGTGTGTGTGGGTTTTTAATGGGTGTGTGAATGGGTGTGTCTGTGTGTGCGTGCGTGCGTGCGTGCGTGCGTGCGTGGGTGTGTGAATGGGTGTGTGAATGGGTGTGTGTGTGTGTGCGTGAATGGTTGTGTGTGGGTGTGGGTCAGCGTGGGTCAGTGTGGGTCAGTGTGGGTCAGTGTGGGTCAGTGTGTGAGTGTGCGTGTGCGTGTGCGCGAGCGTGTGCATGTGTGTGCGTGTGTGGCCGTGCATTGCGGCCTTAGTTTGCATACAGCGTCCCCTGTTGCCATTCCGCCGGAGCAGTCACCCTCTGCCCAGCAGCCGACGCACAAAAAGTGTGTGTGTGTGTTGTGTGTGTGTGTGTTTGTTTGTGGTGTGTGTGTGTGTGTGTTCTGTGTGTGTGTGTTGTGTGTGCTGTGTTTGTTGTGTGTGTGTTCTGTGTGTTCTGTGTGTTCTGTGTTGTGTGTTGTGTGGGTTGTGTGGGTTGTGTGTTTGTGTTGTGTGTATGTTGTGTGTGTGTTGTGTGTTATGTCTGTGTTGTGTGTGTTGTGTGCGCTGTGTGGGTTGTGTGTGTTGTGTGTGTTGTGGGTGGTGTGTGTTGTGTGTTGTGTGTGTTGTGTGGGTTGTGGGTTGTGTGTGTTGTGTGTGTTGCGTGTGTGTTGTGGGCGTTGTGTGTTGTGTGTGGTGTGTGTTGTGCGTGTTGTGTGTTGTATGTTGTGTGATTTGTGTGTGTGTTGTGTGTGTCAGTGTGTGTGACCGCGTATTGCGGCCTCAATTTGCACACAGCGTGTCCCCTGTTGCCATTCCGCTGGAGCAGGCACCCTCTTCCCAGCAGCCGACGCACAAAACAAATGCGTGTGTTGTGCGTTGTGTGTGTGTGCTGTGTGTTGCTTGTGTGTTGCTTGTGTGTTGTATGTTGCGCGCGTGTGTGTATGTTGTGTGGATTGTGTGTGTTGTGTGTGTGTGTGTCGTGTGTGTGTTGTGTGTGTGTGCATGGGCCCCTTTAAGGTCGTTCTACGACTGGGTGGAGCGCCCGTACCCGCCGTTGTTCGCGGACCTCATCGCGAACGCGTGGGACCCGCACTGCGGCGCGGGCCAGGCCGCAGGGTGCCCCGCGGGCCACGTGGAGGGGAGCCACTGGCCGTCGCCGGAGCCGCTGGAGGCTCGGGTCGGACGAAAGCCCAGACCCCTTCGGGCCAGGAACAGAATCACGACGGGAGGTTCTCGATCCATTTCCAGTGGGGGGGGGGGTCGGGGAGCATTGAAAAAACGCGTGTGGAACCCGCACCCCCCCCCCGAACACGAAATTCGGGTCTTCGGATTAGGTTGGGGTGGCTTGGTAGGTAGCCATTCTGGGGACCCTCGCCGGGCCTCGGGCCGCCAGGAATCTGCCCTGGCTGACAAAAGCCGGTCCTGGGGAATGGGTCGAGACCTCGGGGGGTCGACGCTGGGAAAAAGACATGGCGTCGGGGGTCTGGGAAGGTAGGATGTAGCTTTCCACAGCCAGTGATCCTCCGGGAAGTATCAGGTGCCTTTCCCGGAATTGTGCGTATCCACGTATTGTCTTGCAGCCGGCTGCTCCTGCAGGGGTACGAATCGGAACTCGAGCGAAGCATGCGTTGTGACCTTGAAAAACAGCCCCCTTGGACGAGGAGGGGACCCCAGAGATCCAATGTCATGATTGTTTCAATACGCGGTCCCCGGAAGTCTCGACCCATTCCCCAGGACCGGTTTTTCATCCTGAGTCGTTTTTTAACAGTCCCAGGGCCAAGCGAGGCCCCCCAGAGGCCGAACATTGCGAAAAACATCCGTCTTGATTTTTGCCAGCACGTTGGAAAAATCTCCGCCTTGATTTTGTTTTAAACGTTGGATCTCTGGGGACGCACCAGCTCCAGGGAAGACCAGCTGGCGTCAGCCGACTCGCCAGCCCCATCTTTGTTCCCCTCCCCCTCCGCTGCCCCCCCCCTCACGTCCGCCTCGTCCTCCACGTCCTCCACGTCCTCCTCGTCCTCCTCGTCCTCCTCGTCCTCCTCGTCCTCCTCGTCTTTCTCGTCCTCCTCGTCGTCCTCCTCCTCCTCCTCGTCCTTCTCGTCCTCCTCGTCCTCGTCGTCCTCGTCGCCCTCGTCGCCCTCGTCGCCCTCGTCGTCCTCGTCGTCCTCTCGTCGTCCCCGTCGTCCTCGTCGTCCTCGTCGTCCCCGTGTTCTCGGCGGCGAGCCCAGAGCTTCTTCTCGTTCGGGCGCTCTCGGCTGCTCCGGGCAGTGGGCAGTTTTCCAGCCTCGGGCTGTTCTTCAGCCGCTGCGCCTCGCCGAGAGCGTTACCATTGAGTCGGGCACGTCCCTCTACAGGAGGAATTTTCAAAAATCGTCAAGACATAGTCTGGGGACGATTTTTCTATTATCCTTCACTGTTTTTGAATATTATTTTGGTATTTGTAGGTTTTCGTCCAACATCTGCCTGTAGGAGGACATGCCCGACCTAGCGTTACCAGCTACGCACGCGAGCTGACTCGCCAGCCCCCATCTTTGTTCCCCCCCCTTCCGCTGCCCCCCCCTCCACGTCCTCCTCGTCCTCTTCGTCCTCCTCGTCCTCCTCGCTCTTCTCGTCCTCCTCCTCGTCCTCGTCGTCCTCGTCGTTCCCCCCCCCCCTATCTCCCCCCCCCTCCTCTTCGGCGGCGAGCCCAGGGTGGAACGCGAGAGGCAGGTGGGCCTTCTCAGACAGCGGCGAGGCTTACCCGAAGCCCTCGCGCATCCCGAGAGGCCTTGCGGCCTCCCCCGCAGCCTCGGACGGCTTCTCCGACGGCGCGAGGGCCTCCGGGAAGCCCCGCCGCCTTCGGAGAGGGCGTGCCCCCTGCAGAAGTCCTCGGCTCGTCGTCGGGCCACAGCTCGGGTCTCCTGCGGCCGCTCGGGACGATCCCGGCGCTCCCGGGGCGCTCCTCGGCGGGGCGCGGCTGCCGGAGGGCGTCCCGCAGCTGGACACAGTTGCCCGGAGAAGCAGGAAAACGCATGGAGACCTCGTCGGACCTCCAGGGCCACCCGAAAACGCCCTGGGGTCGCCACTGCCCAGAGCAGCAGCAGTCGCCTGAAGACCTCCTCGAGCTCCAGGGTCACCCGAGAACGCCCTGGGGTCGCCGCCGGTCTTCCCTCTGCCGCCCGAGCCCGAGAGCCCGAGAGGTGCAGTCTCAGCTGCGCATGCCACAGAGCCTCGGGCCTGGCATCGGCTGCGTCCGCACCAGGCACGCTTCCACGACCAACGACATACACATCTTTGAGGCGTCGGTGGCGGCCGCCAGAAGGGGGGTGATGACCGGGGGGGAGTTTTCATGGCCAGGGCAACGATCTTGGGAAGGCCTCACGGCTGGCGCCGCCGACCCTGAAGGGGGACATGAACGGCGGCGTTGGCGGCGACGACAACGACGACGCTGACGCTCTTGGAGCCGCCTCGGAGCAGATCTGGGGCCTCTTGCAGGCATGTGGGAAAAGACGCAGCACCCCGCAACCCCCGAATATCTCATCGGACGGGCATCCCTCCTGCCAGAGAAGGATGGGCGTGGCTACACGCGGTACGCCCGAAGCCTCTTGAACCACCCCGCAACAGCAGGTAAGAGCGGGGAGGGTATGTACCTCCGCGGGAGAGGGTTTGGGAGGCGGGGGCGGGCCCTGTCCACAGAGCGTGGGGGCGGGGGCTGGGGCGTTGAGCTCCCCTTCTCCAGAGGGGGACCACCCCCCTCCACAGGGGAACCACACCCCTGTCCCCCTTGACTCAGGCGATCGCAGCCATGGATCAAGCGGGCGTGGATTGGCGACGGGTCCCGTTTCCATGGGAAATCGCAGATTCCCGCCGCCGAGCGAGGCGGCACCGGCCGCATTTTGGGGAGGGCGCTTCCCCCGATCCATGGATTTGGCGACCGCGCGCCACATCCATGACCACAGGAGGGCCCCCCCCGAGGTCACCAGCCCCCTTGGTCCACGGGGGGAGGGGCCACGAGTCCCCAGACCCCCCCCCCCCGGCGACCTCCCCGCAGGCCCCCTCGGGTGCCCCCGGGGGGCCCCCCACCCCCAGCAGGGGAGAGATCAGAGGGAACGGGCCTCCTTTCCAATCGAGTACGACGTTGTTTGATTTCCGTCTGGCTGGATCGCTTGAGGAGGAGGGCCCAGGGAAAGGGGGTGAGCGGCTACTACGGCGACGACGACGACTCGAACAGGAAAACGACCCCCACACACACACACGCCGACAGGGTCGGCAGATTTCCTTGGATTCCACGGCACTTCTTCTTATCATTATTATTGTTAATGTTAGTCGTATTACTCTCAGTGTTGTTAGATGTGTCATTCTTAGTAGTATTAGTACTAGTAGTATGTATGCTTATGTTTCTCCTTATGCTTGTGTGTCTTATTCCGTTGATGCCATTATTATTACTATAGTACGATTATTATTATTAGTATTATTATTATTATTAGTAGTAGTAGTAGTAGTAGGAGTAGTAGGAGTAGTAGGAGTAGTAGGAGTAGTAGGTAGTAGTAGTAGTAGTAGTAGTAGTAGTAGTAGTAGTAGTAGTCGTAGTCGTAGTCGTAGTCGTAGTCGTAGTCGTAGTAGTCGTAGTCGTAGTCGTAGTCGTAGTGTAGTATAGTAGTAGTAGTAGTAGTAGTAGTAGTAGTAGTAGTAAGTAGTAGTAGTAGTAGTAGTACGTAGTAGTAGTAGTAGTAGTCGTAGTCGTAGTCGTAGTAGTCGTAGTAGTAGTAGTCGTAGTAGTAGTAGTAGTAGTAGTAGTAGTAGTAGTAGTAGTAGTAGTAGTAGTAGTAGTAGTAGTAGTAGCAGCAGCAGTACGTGTGTGATTCGTGTGATTAGTGTTCTTATCATTATTTTTTCTTCTAACACACCCACCAGTCCCCCCTTGTCCGCGCACATGCCTCGGGCCATGATTTGCGAATCCACTCTCGGACGCCCCCCGAAAAGGCAGAGGGCCACGTCGGCCTCCCCGGCAAGTGGAGGCGATACGTGGACGCCGTCAAGGAGGATTTCGGTAGGCTGCCGCGCAAGCAGAGGCTGCAGCACGGCAGGAGTTAGCGGGCGAAGAGCGGGATAAAATGATGTGCTCCGCCATCGGGGACGCTTGCCCCTGGGGCGGCTGCAAAGTTTCTGCCCTTCCGGTGCCACGTTGCGGTATGAATGTTGCGGCCGCCCGGGGCGGCAGGCGTCCAAGGCGGCGGAAAAGTTTATTTGATATCGAGCGTCGTCCCCTCAAGGATGGCGCTGGATTCGTGCTCGAACCCGGCTGGCTTGCCAGCCGTCCCGGCGGACAAGAGGCTCTCGGTCCCAGTGAGGTTCATCATTTGTTGCTCGGATCGGACCTCGTGCCCCATCAGCGAGGCCATGGCGAAGGAGCAGGTCCGTTGGATGACCAACGGCTACGCGGGGAAGGAGGGCTGGACGGAGATGCCGTTCGACCTTCACCCGCCCCCTCAGGTGTCAGGAGGGGAAAAAGCACACAGACACAAAGAATCGCCGATCCCCAGGAAAATAGATATGGGAAGTGGAGGAGAAAACGAGCACCCAGGAAATATGGGGAACATCGGGGTGCGGCCCTATTTAGTTAAGTGTCCTTGAACCCCTTCTAGGTGGACACACAGATCGGATTCCACCTCGAGGAGATCAAGTACGTAGAGGACGCTTCGTGCGCCCGGGACGGGTTCTACAGCCCCACCCTGGCATACCGGCACAACACCGACGGCGAGGGCATGCTGAACTACGTCATCCTGACGGATGACCAGTGCGGCTACCTGGGGTACTCTAGGCCTTCCAGATGGGGTCGGAGTAGATGGTGTCGGAGGATCGCGCCGCATCGCCGTTGCATCGGCGATGCGGCGCGATGTGGAGCCCGATCTTCTCCACGCCGACGCCGCCGATGCATCGCAAACGTCGCCCATGCATCGTCGATACGTCGGCGATGCATCGGCAATGTACCGGGGATGCGGCTCGATCCTCCGACCCCAACTATTCGGACCCCATCCAGGAGGCCTGTAGGTACGCCGAGTTTCCGGACAAGTGGAACGAGTCGAGCCCCGAGTTGGCGGTGATGATCAACGCCAAGGCCCTCCGCGGCTACGCCTCGATGGTGATGGCGCGGGCGGCGACGCTAACCCCGCCCGAGGCGACCTCCTCCACGAGGGTGAGCCACGAGGTCGACCTCGCCTTCGACGAGGGCGACACGTGCATACACGAGGGCGGTCACTCGCTCGGGCTCTACCACACGTTCGAGGGCGGCTGCACGGACGGGGATGGCGTGACGGACACGGCGGCTGAGGAGTTCCCTTCGTACCTCTGCGAGGACACCGAGAGGCAATAAAAGGCATAGGCATAAACATCGAAGACCCCCGGCGTCTCTCTTGGATCGGCGCTGGACCCCCCTCCCCCGCGCGGACCGTGGAGAAGGTTCGTGCTTCGTGCCGCCCTCTCCTCTTCTAGGACAAGCACAGCTGCGAGAGCACCGACCCCGTCCGCAACTTCATGGACTACTCCCCGGACGCCTGCATGGCGGGCTTCACGGAGATGCAGAAGCGCCGCCTGTGGTGCATGATCAGGACCTACAGGCCGAAGCTCTACCAGCGCGCCCTCCGGGACGCCTGAGCCGCCAGGAAGCAGACGGGCCTCTGGAGGGGACCGGGTGCTGCTGCGCCTCTCCGTCTGCGGCCTCCCAGGGCCCTGCCCGGGGTCGGAAGGGGCCAGTCACCGCCCACCACAGACCACCCCATCCCGACCCGAAGGCCCCCAGTTGCCCTTCATTGCCAGTGGGGGGGTGTCGGGGAGCGGCGAAAAAACAGGTGTGCAACCCGTACCCCCCCAACCCGGAAGTCGGGTCTTCGGGTTAGGTTGGGGTGGCCTGGTAGGTAGTCAGCTAGGGTGAGGATAAAGCCATTCCAGAGCGTTCCGGAACGCTGCCAGAGCGTTCCAGAGCGCGAACAGAAGGCCTCGGCGCCCGAGACATCCTCCAGAGTTGCTGGATCTCAGAGATCTCTAGCCTACAAGACACCCAAAAGATATAAATTTGACTTGGGGTTGTCATTGATGTGCCACGCAGATTTCGAGCTTCTGTAAAAATAGAAGCTCGAAGGTTGTCGTGTTTATTTTCGTAGAAACAGGACCAAGGGCCTGAGACATCCTCACATGTCAGTGTTTATTCCGTCTCTATCCGTGTCTAACATGAAGCGTGTCCAATTTTGCGGAACGTGTCTATCGTTTAGTGTCCAGTCGTGTCTATTTTCATGTTTTCCCCATTTTCCGTGTCCATCCCGTCGTGTCCATGTTTTGGAACGTGTGGCCATGTTCCCACGATCCATCCACATTTCGGAACCATTGTTTCGTGCGTATGTGCTGTGCATATTTGTACCTGCATAGGTGTGCGTGTGTATATATATATATATATATATATATATATATACATACATACATACATACATACATACATACACATACACATACACATTCCTAAACATATCTTTCTATAGGGCCGGGGACCCCAGAAAGAGCCCCCCTCCCTCATCCCCCCCGAACGAATTTCTAATTTTGGGGTCTGTCTTGGGCCTCTCTGGGGCCATCCTGGGGCCATCCTGACGCCTCCAGAGCCGATCGGAAGCGAAAAAGCGAGAAGGCCAAGAACAATGATTTCCCAAGCGATTTTCACTGATTTTCGCCTCTCCGAGCATTCTTGGGCCAGCCTTCGGCCTCTTTGGGCCTCGTCTTGGGGCTCATTTGGAGCAATCCTGGAGCTATCTTGAAGCCTCAAGAACCGATCGGAAGCGAAAAATCGAGAAGGCCAAAAACCTTGATTTCCCAAGCGATTTTCACTGATTTTCGACTCTCCGGGCCCTCTTGGTCCAGCCTTGGGCCTCTCTGGGGCTCGTCTTGGGTCTCTCCGGGGCCATCCGGAGGCCATCTTGAAGCCTCAAGAGCCGATCGGAAGCGAAAAGGCGAGAAGGCCAAAAACATTACTTTGCCATTTGTTTTACTAGGTTGTCGCCTCTCCGAGCATTGTTGGGCCAGCCTTGGCTCTCTCTGGGGCTCGTCTTGGGCCACATTTGGGCCATCTTGGAGCCATCTTGACGCCTCACGCGCCGATCGTCAGCGAAAAAGCGAGAAAGCCAAAAGCACTACATTTCTTAAGACGTTCGAGCGATTTTGGCCGAACTGGGCATTCTTGGGCCAGCCTTGGGCATCTCCTGGGCCAGCTTCGTGCCCGACCGCCCGACTGGAACACCAGATCGATGCACCACATACAGATGATGTCCCACGCGTCGCGCCTGTCCGGCGCGCCATCTGCAAGAAGCCGGCAGCCCAGCAGCGCGCATGCCGAACATAGCATGTTTTTACCTTTTCCGCCAGAAACTCCTGTCGAGGAGGACGAAACGCAGGAGCACGATGAAAGGAGAACCCTTTTGCCTGACACATCCGTGCAGATCTCGGCTCCGAATCCCTGGCGTTGGTAATTTCCTGGGCGGTCCCGCCCCACGCCCTCACCACTGCGGGCGCCAAGGTGCGCTTGTGCAAAGGGTCAGCCCCGCTTCGCGCGAGATATCCACCGCGTTCTGGGACGCGAGTTACTTTCGTTCGACGTGCGACCACTTCGCCCTGCGGCCAAATGGCGCCTCTGGTCCCCGAGATGCCCTGCCTCATGCTAGCCCAACCGCTCGCCTGAGACATCTTCGCGCCTCTGGGCCCCGAGCCGCCCTGAGCTGGCCTCGGCTGGAGTTGTCCGGTCGGTCCCGCTTAGGACCCCCCCACCCATCCCAACTTCACGGCGGCCCGCCCCATGTCCACGCGCACGCGCGCCGCCTGCATCCGAAACTACAAGGAACAAGGTACATAGCGCGAAGCGCCAATGCAGTCTTGTATCTGTACACGCATACACACAACTATATATATGTGTCTGTATACGCACGTATGACAGCGCGTTTCACGGGCACTTGCCTTGGGAACATTCGGCGGCGCGTGTCGAACCAGGGGGTGGGCCCCCCCCAACACCCGGCGCCGTCGATCAGAACCACCGGGACTCCCCTCCCCCCTTACCACCCCCCTTCCCGAACCAGCTCCAGACTGGATGGGTATGGCGGCCTTTCGGCCTTCAAAGCCTTCGAACGAAAAGGGACCGCTCTCATTCCGACTCCGTTTCGCTCCTCCGTTATCCCTCTCTCTCTGTCTCTGTCTCTCTCTCTCTCTCTCTCTTTCTCTTCTCTCTCTCTCTCTCTTTCTCTCTCTCTCTCTCTCTCCCTCTCTCTCTCAGTCTTCCTCCTCCTCCTCCTCCTCCTCCTCCTCCTCCTCCTCCTCCCCCTCCTCTTCCCCCTCCCAATCAGAATCCCCTTTACGGAGCAGAATCATGCAAAACCCTTAGAAATAATATATATATAGATTATATATATATATATATATATAAATATATATATAATCTGAGGCGAGATTCGGGGGCGAGGGGGGGGGGAAGGTCTCTTCAGGATTGTGTTTTTGGGTTTTTTTTTCCCAGGGTTTGCTGGAATCCGCCCCCGATAATGAAATCCGATTGGGAGGAGGAGGAGGAGGAGGAGGAGGAGGAGGAGGAGGAGGAGGAGGAGGAGGAGGAGGAGGAGGAGGAGGAGGAGGAGAGGAGGAGGAGGAGGAGGAGGAGGAGGAGGAGGGAGGAGGAGGAGGAGGAGGAGGAGGAGGAGGAGGAAGAAGAGGAGGAGGAGGACGAGGACGAGGAGGAGGAGGAGGAGGAGGAAGAGGAGGAGGAGGAGCAGGAGCAGGAGCAGGAGGAGGAGGAAGAGGAGGAGGAGTTCTTTAAGAGTCTCTAGGAATCTCTGGGAATATCTCGGAATCTCTAGGAATCTCTAGGAATCTGTAGAAATCTCTTAGGAATCCATAGGAATCTCTAGAAATCTCTAGGAAACTCTGGGAAGCTCTATGAATTTCTAGGAATCTCTAGGAATATCTAGGAATAGTTAGGAATGTCATGGAATCTCTGGGAATCTCTGGGAATCCGTAGGAATATTTAGGAATCTCTAGGAATTCCTAGGAATCTCTAGGAATCTCTGGGAATCACTAGGAACCTCTTAGGGATCTTTAGCACTATCTGGGAATCTCTAGGAATCTATCGGAGTCTCTAGAATCTCTAGGAATCCTGATGAAGATCTAGGAATATATAGGAATCTGTTTGGGAATCTCTAGGATTTTAGGAATCTCTGGGAATCTCTAGGAATCTTTAGGAATCTCTGGTAATCTCTAGGAATCTCCAGGAATGTGTAGGAATCCCTACACATCTTTACTAATCTCTAGGAACATCTAGGAATCACTAGGAATGTCTAGGAATCTTTTGGAATTCTATGAATCTCTGAGAATATCTAGGAATCTTTTGGAATCTCTTAGGAATCTCTGAGAATCTCTAAGAACCTCTAGGGATCTCTGGGAATCTCTAAGAATCTTTAGGAATCTCCCGGAATCTCTATGAATCTCTAAGAATCTCTAGGAGCCTCTGGGAATCTCTAGGGATCTCTAGGAATCTCTAGGAAAATGTGGGAATCTCCAGGAATATTTAGGAATCTAGAGGATTCTTTAGGAATGTCTTAGGAATCTCTGGGGATCTCTAGGAATATCTAAGACTATTTAAGAATTTCTGGGAATCTCTGGGAATCTCTAGGAATCTCCTGGGGAACTTCTGGAGATCTCCAGGAATCGTTAGGAACCTCTAGGAATCCATAGAAATCCTTTGGAATATCTAGGAATCTCTTAGAATCTTTGGGTATATCTAGGAATCTCTGGGACTCTCTTAGGAATCTCAAGAGATCACTAGGAATATCTAGGAGTCTCTAGGCATCTCTGGGAATCTCTAGGAATCTTTTCGAATCTCTAGGAACCATTAGGAATCACTAGGAATCTCATAGGAATTTCTGGGAATATCTGGGAATCTCTGGGAATCTCTAGGAATCTCTAGGAATCTTTAGGAATCTTCAGGAATCTCTAGGAATCTCTAGGAATCTTTAAGAATCTCAGGGAATGCTTGGGAATCCCTTGGAATATTTAGGGGTTTCTATGAATCTCTGGGGATCTCTAGGAATCTTTAGAATCTCTCGGAATCTCTTAGGAATCTCTAGGGATCTCTTAGGCATATCTGGGGATCTCTGCGGACCAGGAGGGTGTTGAGGATACGGAAGAGGTGTAAGAGAAGGAGGAGGAGGAGGGGGAGGAGGAGGAAGAAGAAGAAAACAGGAAGGGAGAAGCACCGAGCACGGAGGAGGGCCGAAAGGCCGCCATACCCATCCAGTCTGGCGCCCCCGAACCCCCCCCCTCCCCAAAGGAGAGGGGGGGGGGTGTAAAACCACCCCACCCCCGGCGCCCGCGCCGGCGCCGGCGCGGGCGGCCGCCAGCAGCGCCGACGGCGGGGGCGCACCGACGATGACCAGAGGCAGCCCAAGGAAGGGGTGGGGGGGTTTCAACCCCTTCCCCGCGCCGGCGCCGGCGCTGGCGCTAGCGGCGGCCAACAGCGCCGACGGCGGGGACGCAGCGACGATTATTACTACCACCACCACCACCACCACCTCAACCAACCACCAC